CGTGGAAAGCACTGGTTAGGAATTTGCATTTCACTTGTCATTTCGCTCTCAGAGTAAGCTTCTGAAGTCTGATGACTTCAATACATATTTACACCCTGCGTTTGTATTTCCAGCAGGATTAATTTGGCTCTAAACTCAGAAAATGGGAGATCATATTATTTTAAAGTAACTAACATTGGAGTGCATGAAATCATACTCAATAGGATTTTGACACACATTTGAGAGGCTTTTTACTTCTTCACAATCACTAGAAATTTAATAAAAGACCTATATTGCTGGGCAAAACAAAAACAACAACAAAATAAACAACAAAAACAACAAAAAATCCCAACTTTATTCTAAATATCTATGTCCTTACTATTGTTCTTTAGTGACAAAATAAGTGTCCTCTCTACTCATGGATTATCTATAGCTTACACTATAAAGACTCTACTCAAAATTGTCTAGGTTAGATCCCTGTCATCTGGAGATTTGGGCAACGAATATGTCATTGCTGAGCCTCCACTCAAGTCTGAGGGGCGGAGGTAAAGATCACACTGCCTCAGTCAGTTGCTGGAGCCCACGTGATGCGCAACCTGCAGAGTGTGACACTCTAAGCGATACAAGGCCAACGTTCTGCAGTATAACGTGTTTTTCAATATAATTTTGTCGATCCTTAATATTTAATGTGTTCACTCATTACGATAAACACATTTAACTACGCGCACAGCCGATTAAGTTAAGCGAGGAGACTGTCGGGAGAACAAAGTAAAAGGCGAGTTCTATCCCTTGGAAAGCCTTCTTCCTCTCCCATTCATATATGATCAGGATTGAGTTTCACCGTCTTTGAAAGAAGTAGGAGACAGTTGTGATGCTTGCATCTAGCAGGACAGGACGACTTCGAGGCCTCTCTGTCTGCTCACCCATTACTCCGGACTCACCTCGAGCAAAGCTCCCAGAACAGTTGCTAACATGCAAAGATGGACTTGGTAGCCATGTGCAGAGAGGATGTCATGACAAGCTCTTTAGAATGGGGTCCGTTTCCTCTTTTACTGTGCCTTTTTTTTTTCACTGCTTCCTGGCTCTCTCTCCTCACTCACCCATCTTTGCTGAACAAAGGCCTCGCTGATCATCTGCCCTCTGCCCCTTACTACATATAGATACTGTATGTTCCTAGTTCCTCATTTATAGTGAAGAGTCTGGGACGGTTTCCTCAAAGAGGCATTCTGGGCACACATGCGATCTCACCAATCTGTCGGTTTTCCCATCACAACTAAGCTCTGTTCTTATTCTACACTGGCTTTAAAACTGACACTGGAGCAGTTATAGTGAAAAATTGAGAATGGTGGGTCATGACTGTAATCCTAGCACCTTGGAGGCAGAGGCAGGAAGATGACGTCTAGGTCAACCTGGCCTGCAGTGTGAGGCATTGTTTTAAACCCTACTCTGACCTGACCCGCGGGTCCCCAACACTACTCAGCTGAAGCTGTGCATTTTGAACACAGTAATGGCATCATCTTTTCCTTCGAGCCGTGCGGCATGCTTTCCAGTTCACTAGAGCTGCCTCGTGCCTATGACAAGAATGCATGACTTCTTTGCAGCCTGTTCCTAAGCTCCCATGTTGGTTTATCTGTTAAATAACCAAAGTTAACATTCAATGAGTCAGGAATGCATAAGCACTTCGGGTATATTACCTTACTGACCTGGAAGACAGTAAGAGTAGATACTGTAATGACAATCTGTGCAATGTGGTATAGACAGGTAGTGTGTCGAAAGTTTGGGACCTCCTATGATGGCAAGCCGGGATCCACTCAGCTTTGTGCAATGAAAAGACATATCATTGCACAAGAGAAGAAACACTCCTAAGAAATCACAAGCGTCTAATGAGGTGAGACTTGTAAACTTAACACTTTTCCGTGTTTAATCCAGATTGTGACATCTCGGAGATCTTGACCTAGCTTCTGCCAAGCTCAGTCATCAGGAAGACCATCCGGTAGAGAAGGGGGATATGTCACTTCCTGCCTAAGTGCTTTCTGCAACTGACAGTGTGACATCTTTTGATCGCACTAGCAACCATGACCATGCTCTTAGCTGAGAAAACAAGTCCTGGATAAAATTCTGACCAACTTTGTATGAGGCATGTGTACTGGGATTCTGGCCAAGTGCCATCACCTGTAAAATAACAGACCTTGTGTCTCTCCACACTCCCTAAACCTATGCAGGTGCTTCTGCAACCTGCTCTGTCACTGAAACTCCACTCTCTTGATAGTCTTCTTTCTTACAATTTCACATAGTTCATGAGAATCACAGTGGTGAGTGTGTTTGTGTGTGTGCGCACACACACCCTATGGTTCATCACCTTCAGTGTGAGTATACTGTTTCCACAGTTACCTTTAACTTAGCTTGTTGTAATCACTCCCAATGGACATCCTTACTTTTGCCTTTGATCCGTGAATTTTACTGCTAACGTATCAGCCAGAGTAAGCCTACTACAAACGAAGCCAGACTATATCAATTTTGCTCCTGCCCTCAGTGTCTTGTAAGGCCTTCCAGGTCTGTCCAACCTGAGCATGGCCAAGCCTTCCTCCTGCTCAGTGCTTTCCCATCTGTGCACAGCAGGCACAGTCTCCATCCCCAGCCTTTGAGCTCCTGTTTCTACTTTGAGAATACCCTTCCCTAGTATTCACAGGGCTGGCTGGCTCACCTCTTCAGGAAAGACTCAAAAGCCACCTTCTGAGTCACCCCCCGAAAGTATTTTATTTTCTGTCCTCTCTATTTGAGAGGAGTCTGGAACTTTCAGGGGATGCATTATCTCTAGTGACTGAATTGGTGGTGGTATACAGAGAGAGAAGATCAAAGAACTGAGACATTAGCTGGCAGTGAGTATCTCTACCCTCTATTGACACTTCTGGTTGTCGGTGACAGATCTCCTGATTCACAGCTCTGCTGAGACAAAGTCTATTTTGTGATCTCAATATATTTTTGCCGTTTCGTTTGGCAAACCAGGTGGCTCCGAACTTTATGATACTTGGAATAGTTTCAAACACAGGGCATCAGATACCGAGTGTGAATGTTCAGGTATCTGTGGACTCACGCATACTGTAGTCCGTCTCTGATATCTCTCTTTGGCCATGGGTCATGATTTTCCAAATGTAACGTGAGATCTTATTCAAATCCATCTTTCATATACTCTGACAGGATAATTCTGAACTCAAACCCACCAGTAGCAATTTGCATGAAGAAGTCTTTAAATGAATATTTTAACATGTATGTTAAACAAATGAATTCAAACATTTAAAATGTTCACTGTGACTCTAAAATTAAGTCTCTTCAATGGCATATTGAATATTTTTTTTTCTCACTAGGTAGCAAAAATGCGATACGGCGAGAAAATATGAGGGACAGATGGGAATGTGCTGGTCAACTGGAGCTCTCCTTCTGGCCAGAGAAGGTCTTCACCTCTAACAAACAGAAATGGGAACGCAAACACCACCAGCGCCAGCACCGGCACCCCCACCCCCACTGGACTGACTGCCATCAAAGCCTTCGAAACATTCTTTGCAGACATTAAAAACAAGCTATTTTCAAAATTTTCGCAACTAACTGTTGCATTCTTGGTTATTGCGTTTCCACTCCCTAAACCTTTCCTCAAAATCCTACACATTCAGCTACCTAGCCACTCTCTGCTTCACCACAGGCATACAATGTGACAGGCACATGTCTGACACCGGTAAGCAGGTGAAGGAAGAACCGGGACCCCTCCCCCAACAATCAAACAATGACAACAGCAAACCACCCTCCTGTTCGTTCACCGGGCAAACACAGAAATGCAATCGGCTTTAGAAGTCTACAGACCTGAACCTGCATCTTCTCCCCGGTGGCTGGGGGAGGGTGAGAGGGTGACCTCTCACCTCTCCACTTCTTGGTATGATCTCATAAGCATAAAGCTTGGTGCCTGTTTCCCGGGCTGCTGCTCTTCAAACTCGGAGCTACATTAGACATATCTGGGCATTGATGATGGGCTACCTCCAAAATTCCACTGTCCAGGCGAAGCAGAGAGCCGGAGTGTTCTCTGCAAACAGACCTAGCACAGTCCTGTGGGCAGCATATCCCAGCTTGCATCCCACTAAGCTAGTTAACTAGTTCACGCTGACGATTCCTGTGTTTGAATTAAAGAAGCCCTTGGCCACCTGCCTTGTGCCTGTGACAAGTTCCTTTTTTTTTTTTTAAATCCTATTTATCTTCACAGTCATCTATTTGTGTCAAGACAAGAAGCATATGAGCACAGCATCTGTTACTAGAGTCACAAAATTACCAAATACTTCTAGAAGGGAAGAAATAGGCGATAAATCCAGATGACGTGTCAGGTGTCTTAGGGGGGAGCATTAGTCTTTCAATCAGAGTGTCTTGTTTAAAGCGAGCATATGGCATGAACAGCAGAGTCGCCAGCTCAGCCTGGTCTGTAATAGGGACAGGCACCACAGAAATGTCACCACTTCTGATTTGGCAGAGGAAAGCAGCCTCTCCGGCTCAGGCAACCCCTGTCCCCCGCTGCGCGCCTATAATGAAATAGGTAACCACTAAAACCGTTGAGGGCATTTCCCTATTGGTTACGTTTACGCTGAAACCTATATAAGTTCAGAATCTGATTTTAGGGGAAAAAATATAACTTTTTCTGGCAACGAATACTGATCCTCCCCATTGGGATAGTTACTTAATTTCTTTCTGAATGCAAGCAACAGGTCTGTGTGGTCCTACTAAATTAACCTTGTTGCTTGGTTTAAGTCTTCAGACTTTAAGGAGGGACGAGGGAAGACAGTCAGGTGTTAGAGGCTGGCAGACCACATGACAGGCACACCTGAAGAGACAGTCTTCCAGACTGTCAAGACCGGGCATCCCCCACAGCCCCAGAATCTGAAAACTGGCCCCAAGACATGCCCAGCCCTGCTGCTTGGATCCAGTTTCCCCAGTTCCCCGCCAAGCGCCCACGTGAGCCACACCAGGGCGCCAAAGCCCCTTACCTGCCAGGCTGCCCGGCCTCTGGAGGGTGGCGGTGGCATATAGCTCCTGCGAATGCTTGCTGTACTGCTCGGACGCGTGGACCAGGCGCTTGGTGGGCGACAGGGTGGCGTAGGTGCCGATGGTGGAGCTCAGCTGGTGGATGGGCGAAGAGGAGATGGTGGACTGCACGGTGGGGGGCGAGGTCACGCGGATCGGGGACAGGCCGGCCGAGGACACGACGATGTTGATGGGCGAGCTGGTGCTGTAGGACTTGGCCAGGCGGCTGGGCGACTGCTTGGGCGAGGAGCCGCGCGGCGCGGCGTAGGCGGCACCCTCGGGGGCCGAGCCTCCGCGCTGCAGCTTGGTGGGCGAGCCGCCCTGCGTGGTGGTCAGCGGGGAGCCCCCGCGCGGCGGCGCGGGCAGCGTGGAGCTGGAGTAGTAGAGCGCCGCGGCGGCGGGCGGCGCGTCGGGCAGGTGGAAGGCGCTGCCCAGGCTGGGCGCGAACGGCTCCCGCGGAGGCGGAGGCGGTGGCGCAGGCTCGGAGCCCGCCAGGTGCCCCGCGCGGCCGGTCGTGCCCTGTGCCGGGAGAGCAGAGAACAGGAGCGCTCAGAGCTGGAGAAGCAGCCGCCCAAACCGCCCGCCCGCCCGCCGGCCCCGCCCGGCTGCAGAGGACAACTTCTTCGCCCAGGATACGCGTGGAAGAGGGACGCGAACCCACGCCCCAGCACGTGCCCCGGGCAGGTCCCTTTCCGAGGAGAAAGGAGCGGGCTAGCTAAGGCCGGCTGACAAAAAGGCGAGAGGGATGCCTCTGCTCCGAGTTCCAAGAGGTTTTAGTCACAGAAGAAAAATGTAAAGGCCACCCAACCAGTGATCTCCCAGAACCCCCCCTCTCTCTCCCCCCCCCGCCCCTTCCCTGCTTTAATAAAAACTCCAGGCATTAAACGCTCCCATTATTGAGGAGACACACTTTCAGCCACCAAAAACTGACCGAATTGCGTACTTAGATGGGGACATAAAAGATGTACTTAGAATTTATTCTGCCGCCTGCCTTGCCGTTAAGACTCTTTCGGGGCAAGAGTTAAAGGGAGGGAAAAGTGCTACGTCACGAGAGTAAGCTTGGTTTTTCAGTACTAAAAAAAAAAATTCTAGAGGAAACAGATCAATTAAAATTGGAAACACTAAAAGTGTTTCCTTTTCTGGATATGAAAAGTGTACTCTAGACAGCCCAGTACAACACCCCTGCCGTCGTGTCTTCCAACTGAAAGCCAGTTACTTTTCTTTCCTTACAAGAACACAAAAGACCGGGTTGGGGTGAAGTTAGAAGGAGCGCTATAGGGGCAGGAAATTTCCTTAAACCTTGCTTAGAGACAAATCTGGATTAGAATGAAAGTACTGAGTTGTCCGCTAATTCTGGGCAGAAGGTCTTCAGGAGAAAGGGTCCCGGAAGCCCCTGGTGTGAAAAGCTAGGGTAGCACCGCACACTGTGTGAGAGAGAAGCTGGAAAGGGAGGTTCAGGAAGGAAGTGTGCTGGTTGGGCTGGGAACAGAGCAAGGAGATGATGGGGAGGGGGAAGGAGAACAGAAATCTCTCCACAGGAAGGTGATAACTTCGTTGTGGCTCTGCCCTTTGGGATGGCATTTGGTAAGTGGGAGGGTGGACACTTGATCTGCACGCACACAGCATTCCAAACTGTGGAGAAACGCTGAGGATGTAGCCAGGAAGCATCAAGACCCTGAATTAAGAACAAGTTGGGGATGCTCACAGCTAACCATTGAACTACTCATGGGGTTCCCAATGGAGAAGTTAGAGAGAAGACTGAAGGAGCTGAAGGGGTTTGCCAGCCCATGAGGAGAGCAACAATACCAACCAACCAGAGCTCCCAGGGTCTAAACCTCCAGCCTGGGAGCACATTAGGAGGCACCCATGGCTCCAGCTGTATATGTAGGGAAGGATGGCCTTGTAGGGCATAGGTGGGAGAGGAAGTGCTTGGTCCCTTTAAGGCTGGATGCCCCACTGTGGGGGAATTCGAGGGCAGGGAGGTGGGAGTGGGTGGGTGGGGGCACACCCTCTTAGAAGCAGGAAGAGGGGAGATAAGATAGGGGGTTCCTGAGTGGGAGGGGAATGGGGAAAGGGGATAACATCTGAAACGTAAATAAAATATCCAAATATATATATATATATATATATGAATGAGAACAAGTTGGGACTTGGGGAGACATCTTATCTCCTAAGCTTGAGGAGCTCAGCCTGATCCCAGGTACCAGTTAGTGCTCCGCTTCACTAGAGAGGCAGACAGTCAGGCTGTTACCTGACAGCCACTTTGGAGAGTACAAAACCAATGAGAGAGACTTTGGTTCTTTTTTTTGGGGTGGGGCTGTACAGAACTCAGGGATGCTGTCTTATGACCCCACCCCAACATGGGTAGAACATGTCCATGCACCCTCATGCAGGTACACACACACACACACACACACACACACACACACACACGGCACACTAAACACAGCTTTGTATGATACAGACAACTATTTGTTGAGAGACACTCTCTGTGGAAGATGTATATTTCTACCACACACATTTGTTTACATATAATGTGAATGTATAATATAAATTTTATGAGTATATTATCTATCCCAATCTGAACGGGAATTATTTTAAGCTTATTATTTTCAGTAGGAGTAGAATGCAAGCTCCATGCGCTTGCTCAAAGGAGTCTCTCTAGCAACCGCAAGACCTGATCCACAGAGAGGCTGTAGTAGTTTGCTCAATCAATGAAGGAGTGATTCATAAATTTGGCCTGAGGCTTTGGCCTTGAGAGTTTTAAGAAAGCTCAAGCTCTGGAGAACTCCCGTGTCTTCCCGATTCCCAGAGCTATGGTCCAACATCAAACTGAGAAGCTTGGAGCGTCTCCCTTAGGAGAACCATAGGAGACTAGGCTTCTGAAACCAAATTGTAAGTGAAAATTGCCAGGGAACTTCTAAATAACATTGGAACAGCTAAGATTTTCCCTAGACACTTAATTCAGAGTCTTTGATGGAGGTACCTAAGCATCAGGTAAGTGAGCCAGCTTCCCAGCAGATTCCAATGCTCAATACACGTGAGAACCGGTTCTCAGACCTGTGGTTTCCACAGGGTGCTACCTATTCACCAAGCAACAGCATCACCGCCTTGAATAGAACAGAATCCCTGGTGGAGGCCAAGTTACCTTTGTTTGGACAAACTCTCTAGGTGACTGAAATCTCCACCAAACTTTGAGAACCAACAATGGCAGACTATCTTGTTCTGGGGTTCAGAATTGGGTCCTGGGGTTGATAACAGTCTGTTGAGGGAGGTAGATGGTATTGATCCTAAACATTCTGACAACCAAACAGATATTTTCCCTCTGAGTCTCCACTCTGTTCACTGTTGACTAGGTTCTCTACAACCATCTGGCTAGCGAGCGGCGGGAGAGCCTCATACAGGAAGATAATGTGGAGACATTAAGAATACGAAGTCCCCTGCCTACAATCAACTCTGTCATGTCTTCTATGACACTAATAATGGCCTTCTATTACATTCACGATGGCATTAGACATGGTATTCTTTTTTAATGACTAATGATAAATGTACTTCATTGAAGTGCAGCTGTCCTTTTAGCAGGGAATGGAGGTTGATACAGAGATTACCTAATCAGTCACAACGCAAAGAACAAGTGATTTTGATCTGCTCGGCCCTGAGCTGAATTCCACCACCTCCTCTCAAAACTGAGGAACATTATGGAAGAAGGAATGGAAAGATTGTAAGTCAGAGAGCAGGAAAGAGCGGTGTGTGACAGTGTCTTCTAGACACAACAGGGCCATTCCAACAGTAACTCATAGACAAAGGTTTCACCCAGGAGACAGTGAAAGGTAATTCTTAGTGAGGGATGGAGAATCCGTGTTCTTCTGGGGTATAAACCTGGTACGTTGTCTATGGTCCAGTAGATGATCCTACATTTGTGCTTGTATGAGCAGCACTGACTGGACTGACTGGTTGGGTTTTAGACCAATGAGAAGAGGACAGAGGTGAAGTTGGATGGAATATGTGAGATTCTTGAAAGGGGATGGGACAAATAGCGGTGAGAGTGGGAAATGTGTATGACTATAAAACATTGTGTGCGTGCATGAACTTCTCAATGGAATTGAGAATAGTATAGAGACCTACAACTAATCAAAATATATAAATAGGGACTGTGCTATGCTTAGTCTCACGTGGTAAAGTAACCCTTCTATTTAAGGCCCAAGAATCATTGCTGGAGAGGGGTGGTAAGATTGTAAGAGCCATAGGACAAGACAGGACATCTGCTGGGAGGTAGTGTCTTTTCTGTGACAGGGAAGCTGCATCTGTGAAATCTCAACAACATGATTGCCTAAACATGATCTTCAAAACGATCACACGAGTTGACATCCCAACATGTCAGTGAGGATGGTGGATGTCTCACAAGGTCACATCTCTAGATGAAGAGCTACAGACTGTTGGGAGAGGGAGGATTCATTGTATCCAGGGATGAGTTCCTTGAAAGATACATTCAATCGGGAGAGGGAGGATTCATTGTATCCAGGGATGAGTTCCCGGAAAGATACATTCAATCCCAAGTGGTCACCTCTACATGTACATAGAAGCACCACTAGATGGACTTGGCCATGTGTGTGCATGCATACATGTGTATACACGTAAAACCATAATAATTAAAGAAAGGGAGGTTGAACATTTGACATGCAAAAGTTGAAACATGGAGAGGGAACAGTGGAAATAATGTAAGTACAGTTCACTTGTATAGAAAATTTGAAAAATAATTTAAAAGAAACTAATTTAATTAATAAGCTAATTTACCTGACTTATGTGCATAGCAAGAATGCTATGGTTTGTAAATACCTTGCCAGCTTTTCTTTTTCTTTTCCTATTTTTTTTTGATCTGCTGGAAAGTGAAATTTGAGAATACTAATTATGTTGAATATTCTACAAGCATCCCTTAAATGGCCCCCAGATCTGTAGAAAGTTTGGAAAATGCTGCATAACCTCTAGACATTTTGAAAGCCAGGGTGTCTAAGTCAGAAATAGACATATAGGAGGATCTTGGTAAAATTTTATAGAATTTTTAACAAGAAAAAGGGGAAGGAGAAAGAAGCAGTAATATTTTATGTTGTCTCTGAGGCAGTCAGTGGTGTTATTCAGTGTGTACTAAGACACAAATTTAACCCAGCCCGATGTTTCCATATGTTTAAACACCCCTATCACTCAGCATTCCCAGTATGCCAGCCTTAATGGTACCTGTTGAGCAGCATGGCCCCATCCATTTGCTTTAGGTCTGGTAATGTCCCAAACTGGCATGTCCCAATTTAGCACTCACTAGACAGACAGGCTCATTGAGGGCCTCAAATGCTGCTTGTCAACGGAAGAACTGGATTTAGCGTGCACGTGATTAATCCCAATTTACACAGCCACATGTAACCAGGGGCTAACTTACTGGGCTGCACAGCTGCACCAGCTCATCTATAGCTCATAAAAAATGGTCCAGGGATGCTGTGGTCCATCACAGCGGCTGATGGAGTAATAAA